ACCCCAAATCCTGTGTACTCTGCACAACTCTCTGGCCCACATTTTCCTGCCAGCAGGAGAAGAGAACCCTGCAGGGGAACACTGTGCTTGGGACCAAGCTGGAAAGAGAAAAGCCAAAGAGATGAAGTAGGACTACACATGGGAATAGGTACTATAATCAAACCACAGCAAAGCACCAGAGGTGCCATCAGCTGGAGCTTTTAAAGGGAAAGGGAATCCATGCAATGGAAGCAGAATCAATAGAGCAATAGAGGAATGGTGTGGGAAGGGGATGGGCCAACTTTGTGGGAAGCAGAGGCCAGAACAACTAAGCAAAGCAATGACAACTACAACCTCCTCCTGACCTGTGGGGTTCCTGCAGAGATCGGGCTGCCCACCAAACAGATTACCTGACCTGAACCCATTTTCCTGGCTAAGTGACCAATGCTGTTTGATTCCCAGCTGGACTCTCTCAGGGACTGGCAGATGGCATAAGCCTTCCCAAGGGCATCCAGTGCCTATGTATAAAGATCTGTTTACATGACTAATGTTTGCAGAGTTTTCCAGTAACTTTTCACTCTTCCAGAACTGGGAACAGGGTTGCCAGCCTTTCTCTTGACTGTGGCGTGGATATCTTGTCTTCTTTTAAATTCCCATCAGTGGGTTTGCTCCACGCTCTGAATGTGCAAGTGAAATTTCCTTCTCTGTCTGACAGAAAGAATCAAATCAAGAGATCTTTATCTCAGAATACTGCCATGTCCTTGTAAGTGGACAGATTTTCCCTTTATATCAGCATTCCTTGACAGTGTGAGGGGGATTAGGAAGCTGTCTCTACACTGGGACCTCTGCTGTTTAATAAACACTTCTGGTTTTTGGAAAAATAGCAAATTCACCAAAAAATTGCCACTGCTACAAAATAATATACATTTGTTAATTTCTGGTCTTGGCTGAGACCAGTGAATTCTTGAGTTTCAGAGGAGTCTAAAAATGAAGCAAATTGGAATTACAATGCAAGTGAAATTCAGGGGGGGAAAAAAACCACTATGGATATTCAAGGAACATTGTGAGACTTTTATAGAGATTGCTTGATCTCAAATTTACTTTTATCATTCAAAAAGACAATATATCATTAGGCTGTTTTAAGAAAAATCTGCCATCTTGTATTCTGTAACAATAGCAAAAGGAATTACACACACAATTATAGAGGCTGTGAAACATGAGATGATTTTGTTGCCAAACAATCTGTGGTGCAAAGAAGTCACTACAGAAGAAGGCCACAATGGAGGTTCATATTTTCTAAAAATTAAATTAATCAGTTGCTATACATGCATCTATACCTGTCTTTTGGGCAGTGTGCTCCTAATCTCCTTTTTTTTTTCACAAGGTACTGCATTGAAATTTATTGCTGCTAAGCTAAAATTAAACTTGGAATAGGGTTTAATACAATCTCTTTGTATGTGGGCAATGGAACTGAACTGTCCAAAGAAGCTCCAAGGTGAACCTCAGTGCCTCAGTTCCTGCTGGGAACTCCTGTAGCACTGAAGGGAGGCCCTCTTTTCCTGAAGAAAAGCCTTATAAAAGACCGAATTTCTAGTCAGCTTGCAGAATATTTTTGTTCCAGAAACACTGATAGCATTGCCTGAGTTAACTCAGACTTCTTTTGCAAGTCAGAAGCAAGACTTCATTGACTGTGATGATGGCAGAACCAACTCCATTGCATGGGGAGGCAGATAACCCTACAACAGGGGCACGTGAGACATCTCTGTCACAAGACAGGGGCTGCCCGAGCCAAGGGATGCTGCCTGCAGTGCTTGGGACACTGCTGTGGGGAAATACAGACAGAACTCCAACAAGAAGGCCTGGAGGAATTGGAAGAGGTGAAACAGGAGTCACGTCAGGTACAGGTGTGATGGGATCTCTCCCTCACCACAATCAGCTAGGTCAGAGGACTGGACCATGAAGACTCTCAGCCCATGCCTTTGGCCCACAACCAAGATCTAAGATGGAATTCAAGCAGACCTATTTCACTCTTCCTTGAAATTCTGGGGTGTTGGAAGTACCAGTAACATGTGAGTGGAACATGAGGACAGGAGGACAAGGAACTGGAAGGCAAGGTACACATATGTTAGGAAAGTCATGGTTTAAAGTTGAACTCACTGTGTCTTTTCCATGCTTTTCTGGTGGTAACCTGGGAACAATCACGGAAGCTAATGAAGCAGAATCACAATAATTTATTGAGTATTAATGGAGAAGGGATGAGAGGTGAGTGAAAATCACCTTTCTGAAAGGCTTGCTTGTGGCAGTGTTAAGAGAAGGGAAAGCCAATGTCACTTTGGACAGCATGCAGGCAGGGTGGCAGTTCCTTGCAGCAGCCAGAGGATACAGATTCTGCATATTCCCTGAGACTGAGAGCACTAAAACTTTGAAAGGTGCACTCCTGAATCCAAATGTGTAATGACAACATTTAAGAATAAGTAAAATTTGTTTACAGGTTTTGAATAACCTTGTTTTAGGCTGCTAAACAGGTTCTTATTTAATCAGCTATTGATACAGGTATGGGAACACTCCAGCTGTTGTCAAGATCTTGGGGGCCCGGGCCACCATCCAAGTATTTTCAGACACACATTTGGAAAGCAAGCTCTTTCTCAGATTATGATTGTCAGGTAATCTTTTCTCTACACCCCCTCTTCCATTTTACTTTTCTCCCCTATTGCCCCTTTTTTCATGTGTAGATAACATTCAACACACATTTCTTTCTCTGTATCTGAGATTACACAAGGGTAAAGCCTCTCCACCTTCGTTAAACAAAATTATTTCCTCTGGTGGGCTGGCCACCTGGAACATAAAACATAAACCTATTTTAGCAGGAACTAATGTGGTTTCTGGCAGGACAGCCAACAGTGTCCTCATTGGCACATCCTTGGTGGTAGTGCTGAACCCCCCAGCAGGGTGAGAAGCATTCTTGAGTCACGTGGATCACAGGATTAAATCAAATGACTGAAAAAAAGAAAAATACGAAGACCAGAATGTGTAAACAGTAAAGGGAAAAAAAAAAAAAAGGGGAAATCAGAATTAAACTTGAAGCCTTCTTGTTAAAACTCTCTGAAAGGGTGTCACAGTGTAAGACCAGCTTTATGGACCTTTTCTTAGGCATTCTCTTACCCAGTGACTCAACCATATATTTAATAAAACACTTTATATATCCTAATGGTAGTAACATAATATTTCTGAGCCTAAATATATTGCCAGCAACTGCCCCAGAGCTTGTCTTAATACTACTAAAACCATTCAACGGGACTAGAATGCAGGGTGTCCTGCCCTTTTTTTGCTAGCTATTATTGCCAGCACTAATGGATGCTGTTATTATATTCAATAACAATGGACACCACCAGTGCCAAGGGCAGCTTCCACTTTTGTTGGTTACACATCACTGTGAAGTAGCTCAGGCACCACTACTAGCACATATGTCCCTGCACTTCTGGTGTTTATCCATGAACACAAGTGTTTGTTGCAAAAGAAAGCGTGCTTTACGTGAGCTGTGGTTCCACAGAAAATTAAATAGGAAAATTAAATCACCTGTAGACAGAAGGTTAGGATTTTTCTTCAGTCATAATACCAAGGCATATGTATGATAAATCATATAATGATAATTCAGACCTCCCCAGTACAGCTGTAAATATTACAAATCAGCAAAGTAAGGCAGCCCTGTTCACCCCGTTCAACACTTTTCTTGCAAATAAGGGCAACTTGAAATGGATGTCTGAAATCTGAAGCATTAATACTGAATCTGCATTTTGGTTGAAAAAAGTAACACTTTAAAGTGGGAATTAGAATTACAGAAGAAACATAAGTCCAAATCCAGAAGAGATACATAAAAGGGAAGCAGTATCTCCAATGGCCAGCATCTCAGGGGCTTAGCAGGACTTTTTTTGCACTCTGATTAAAAGGCTTATTGAAAAATTGCCATGTTTTCCACAAAGGTGTCAAAGTAGAAAGATGAACTTTCAGCCTTAGCTCAATGTCATGCTGCAGTGCACAAGAAAAGAACAAACACAAGCTTACAAATGCAGTTTGTTCTCTGTATCATGAAAGCCTGGCAGAACTCCAGTGCTGGAGCAATGCCAAAGCAGCACACCAGCGTCTTTGATCTTCTAAAGCTCATGTTTTCCTTTAGTGTTTAACATCCCGACTAATTTAAAATCAATGTACAAATGGCTTTCAGAAATAATTGCGAGCAGCCCAAGTCTCGACATTTCATAACTATTCAGGTCGTTGGCAACTGTCACAAGTGAGAACTCGGGGAGCTGCGGGCAGCCCCAACACCCTCCGTGCCCCGCATGGCTCTGCACTGCTGCCCTGCATTGCTGAGCACCTGCATTCCCATGGGCAGAGCATTTCCAGGCTTTTTACCTACAAACCTCTTGTCTGAAGCCCAGATCTGTCAGATCTGACACCAGCCCCTCACGGCGGGGGGATTTCCTCCCTCAGACACCACAGAAGGGCTCACTCCACTGCCACACGCTCGGGAGCAGCCCGAGACACCCCTGAGGGATTTCTGCACGGTCTCCTGCAGCTTCCACTCATCAATCTCGCTGCCTTTTTAGTCTTCTTACACTAAAAAGTTCATTCTTATGGCATCTGCTACAGCTCCATTCGTGGCACTTGTGTTCCCCATGATTATGCTTGTGACTACTTGTGACAGAGCGGCTCCGGAAAGGAGACCAGAGAGAGGCTTCAGCTGGATCGCCACGCCAGACCCGGTTCACTGCCTCCTCAAGGAAGTGGTCAACTCCGGCCACCGCCATAGCGGGGGGCCCGGCCCGGGTCCCCTCCGGCCCCTCCCGGCCCCGCTCTGCCCTCACAGCCGCCCGCAAGCCCCGCCCCCACCAACGCCTCACGACCGCCGCCCCTTGTCTGATGCAATTCGCTTCCCTCCTTGCCCGCGGCCTCGGGCCAATCACGAGCTCTCCCGGCCGTGGCGTCACGCCCCGCAGCCAATGAGCGAGAGCCACGATGGTAGAAATCCGGGCGGGGCGGCGCGGGGCGCAGAGCGCCGCGCTGGTGACGCGGGCAGCGTGTCCGCTGTCCTGCCGTGCCGCCATGGCAGCGCTGCCCGGTGCCGCGGCCCCGCGGCTGCTCCTCATCCCTAGCAAAGCGGCCGAGGCTCCCGGCACCGCGGCTGCCCGGCATCTGTCCGTTGTCCTGCCGGCAGGAGCCGATCCCAGCCTCCCCGGGATGGAGACCACGCAGCCGGCCCGTAAGCGGCAGCGGCTCACGCATCTGAGCCCGGAGGAGAAGGCGCTGCGCAGGTGAGTGCGGGGTATCCGTGGGAGAGCTGCGGCTGAGCTTGGTGGGTACGAGATCTCCCGCTGAGGGCTGCTCTGCCCCGCAGGAAGCTGAAGAACCGCGTGGCGGCCCAGAGTGCCCGCGACAGGAAGAAGGCGCGGATGACAGAGCTGGAGCAGCAGGTGGTGGAGCTGGAGGAGGAGGTGAGAGACTGGGGGAGATGAGGGGCTGGAGGAGCGGGAGGAAGGGAGCGGCCTCCCTGCCTCACGGCTCTTTGCAGAACCAGAAGCTGCTGCGGGAAAACCAGCTCCTGCGGGAAAGGACGTGTAACCTCGCACGGGAGAACCAGGAGCTCCGCTGCCGCCTGGGTTTAGATGCTGTGAAGACGGAGGAGGAGGGTGACGAGTTCCAGGTGAGCCGCGCTGCTGGCGTGTCCGCCCCCGCCTTGGGCAGAGCTGCCCGGCTGCCGGGGCAACCTCGGCGCTGTGGGCAGGGATATGACGGAAATACCTTTGTCCTCCGTATGGAGGCTGTCCTGAAACTCAGCGGGTGCCAAGTCGAAATGGGTAATGTGGGAGGTAGAAAGCTGACTAGTTCCAGGCTGTTTTAAGATAGTTTTCTACCTTATAGAGGTGAAATAGAAACTGTTACAGTCATGTAGGTATGTCTCAGATGTGGTGGAGAGGGTCAGGCTTTCATTTAAAAGTGTCAAACAAAATAAATGTGCAAGTGTAGGGAAGCTTCAGCTAACTTTGAAATTATTTTACCTTCAGGTTCCTACAGCATAAGTAAATAGTGAATTTTGTGTTGGAACCCTTTGCAGAAAAAATCATGATCTTGGAAGATTGTGTAGTGTACTGCCTGCCAGAACATTTGCAGTGACTGAGTTTTTGTCTTGGTACAGGTTGTGAAGGAATCGCAGGTGGAGGAGATCAGATTGGTGACCGGGTCCGCTGAGTCCGCAGCACTCAGACTACGTGTTCCTCTGCAGCAGGTGCAGGCCCAGCAGTCACCATTTCTGATAGCTTCCACATGGATTCTGATGGCAGTGACTCTTCAGACTCTGAGGTGAGCATCCAGTCCTATACAAATTGTCCATGAAATTTGGAAATACTGTAGATTTAAGACTATTGTTGTTAACATTTTGATGTGAAATTATTTGGTGATTTCCATTCATTCCAAATCTTGGAATGCCATACCTGTGCATCAGAACAGCTGTGTTAGGCTGTGTCCAATGAGTACAGGAGTTCAACAACACACACATAAAAAAACCCAGTCCCCACAGCTTTAGTCGTGTGCAGGTCTGCCTAAGGCAGGTTTTTCCTGTGGTCTGTGTAGCCAGCAGGCACCGTGGTGTTTGTACTTGATGGGTACAAGATCTCAAGGAGCTTCTAATAGTGGCTGTAAATCTCAAATGCATGTATAATTCCCTGGAATTGCCAGTACCCTTACAAAAAAAGCTGTGGGCAAAGAATGACTGTGCCCTGGCAGAGATTGCCCAAAAGGGTGTGGAGTCTCCCTCACTGGAGACAGTCAGGAACCATCTGGTGCAATCCTGTGCCACGAGCTCTACTGTGACTCTGCTTGAGCAGATGTGACCTACTGTGGTTCCTTCCAGCCTGGCCTATTCTGTGAATTTCTGCAAGATAGGTAACTGCCTTAACTGTGTGTTTGATGATACTCTTGGTAAAACAACTGTGATTGCATCAGTGTATGTTAACTTCCGCGTGGAGGTTAATAGAGGCCACATTTGGTGTTTGGCTGTAACAGTAATAAACTGTCTTTCTAAAACTGTCTTTCATTTTGCAGTCTGATCTCCTATTGGGCTTTCTGGACGGTCTGGACCCAGAGTTGTTTCTCAAATATGCTGATTCAGAGTCAACGTGCCTGGAAAAGCTGGACGAAGACGTCTCTGGAGAAACAAATTCCATACCAACCGCCCTCTCTCCCTCTTTGGGGTCCCCATCAGCCAAGCTGGAAGCCATTAATGAACTCATAAGGTTTGATCACGTGTATACAAAACCACTAGTAGTGGAGATTCCTGTTGAAGTGGGCAACCAAACCAATATGCTAGTGAAAATTGAGAAAGAAAATCTCTCTTCATCTGATGACAAGGCCATCCCTGAAGTCCCAGTGTCTGTGAAGAAGGAACCTGTAGACAGCTTCATGCCTGAACTGGGCTTTTCTCATCTGCTTTCTTCTTGTCATAGCCTTGAAGCCCCAAGCTACCTGTTGGATGGCTGTAGTGACTCTGGGTATGAAGGATCCCTGTCGCCCTTCAGTGACGCATCGTCTCCGCTTGGCCCTGACCATGCGTGGGAGGATAGCTTTGCCAAGGAACTCTTTCCCCAGCTCATCAGTGTCTAACCTGGTAGTGTTAACTCCCTGTGAACAACTGTCCTGGCAGGAAATCAGCAATGCCCCTTTGGGGTGTTTGTGGGGAAAATCAAGTCCATCCAGAAAAGTGTTTCTCATATTTACCATGCTATAGTAGGTGGCATGATGGTATGAAAAAGCCTGGGGTGTCCTGTCCTGCCCTGGCTCCCCCCAGTCAGTGTTGGCTTAGGAGAGAGGCAGGTTTGTTTCTCAATAACTTGCTCATTCTCTGTGAACCTGAAAATGTTTTGTTTTCCAGTTAAACTTTTTAAAACCAAAAACTAAAATGGGATATTCATGTATAGACAACTGGGCTAGACCTTAATAGTCTCTAAGTCTTACAGCTTCACTAAATGCTTGTTTTCCATTTGCTATGTAGAGTTGCTTTGTCCGTTTAATATTTAACTGTATTGGTGCAATTAAAATGCAGTGCAGCTCACTGACCCTGTTTTGCCTTAGAACTCAGTGGGGAGGGGAGAGTGTCTGGGCTTTGGAGAATTTAAATCAGGTCCCTCAATGTCTCATCCTGCCACAATGCATGGAGGAGCACTGCTCATAAGGTGTCTGCAGCTGGATGCTTCAGCAGTTCCCTTCTGGGGGCACTGGATGTGGTGGGCAAGTTTGTGTGATGGCCAAAGCTACTAGAGGAAAACCTTTATCCTCTGTAAGGCAGAGAGGTGGTAGGAGCTTGGAGTCTGAATATTCAAAAGTCAGGGCAGTGGTGGCACCCTGGTGGCCAGCAATGCTGTCCAAATATCTCAGTATGAGGGGAGGTGGGTGTGAGACAGACACAGTGTGAAAACTGTTGTAGATTCTGTATTACCACAGGAAATCCTGAAGTATCAAATGGACTAATATCAAATACCACAGCAGGACTTCTCATTCTTCACATCCATTTGCTCCAGTATCCAGAATTTATCACAATATTAAAAACACTGGGAGAGACAGAAGAAATTTTATACTGAAGATAAGAGAGCTGTTGCAGGTGTTGGCACAGCTGTTCTTGGTTTCAGTGCTATTTCACGTTTTGCATTCAATTTTGGCAAAAATAACTTGGGGTGGGGAAGAAAGAAAACCAGAGATGTTTCAGTCAGTAACATTCAAGGTGATAGGACTGCCTTGGATTACAAGCCTGAGTAACCTAGCTTATAATGAAGGATTCCACCTTCACTAAATAGTGGGTAGAATTAAAGACTACAAATTTAGATAGAAAATCCAAGTAATCAGAAGCATAAGTTGCTTTACTTTCAAGGTGGAAAATAGGGATGACTGCAAGAGCATCAAATTGTTGGGAATCCAAAAAAAAGCAGAAGTGAAGATTTGAACTGTAGTTTTGCAATACATTTTGTTAGCACCCTTTTATGGAGCCCCAGCCCTTCCTGGCAACTATGAGCAAGCCATTTCAACATCTAAAAAAATCCAAAGAAAACTGTATTACAGTCTCCTTTCCATCACAGCAGGACATGGGATGTGCTTAACATTTCAACCTTGTTAAGCACAGGAGACAGAAATGTTGAAGGACATGGTCTTTACACTGTTTTGCTTCCCCTTTTCAACTTAAGGGCTCTGTCCTGCCATGCTTTATCCTGACTTACTGCAAGGACTGTGTCCCACAGGAAGGTGTTTATAGTTACTGAGACCTCTTCCACTAAAAATACAGAACTAGTTCTTGTTTGGCATCTAGAAGCCTACTACCATTCAGAATTCCTGTAAGCACTAGTATTTTCTATTAGGATCAAGTCCACTAAGATGGTACACAAAAAAAGCAAAAGTTTTACCTTTCAACAAAATTACTAAAATCTGAATTTAAAACTCTTCTCAAACATTCCTTAACTTTAAGAATACCTAGCTTGAGTACTTCTGAAGAGTTTTATTCTGAAGTAAAATGAAAGCTCTCAAAACACAAGCTATAGCAACACTTATTGGTACCCCTATTGCTTTGTCAGGGGCCTTTGGGTCATGACAGACTTAAAATAACTCTTCCTTCCTGGCAGCTTCAGGTTTATTCTGCTGTTGCCTTCCCTTGTCCTGCTGAGTACTGTGAAGGAAAAAACAGGCATGCCTTTGACAAAACATAGTTAAATTCAAATCTTGTTAAGCCAGAAGAGTACTTTACTGTCCAGCTGAAGGACTGCACATAGGCTCCCAAGGTTTTGTCACTCTTACCAGGAATGAAACAGTCATCTAAAAAATATTTTAGAAAATTTATTGAAAACTGACATACAAAGGGTGATTTGGTCCCAAGAGAAGACAGACCAGAATCAGATCTTTCGTATTTCAAAATAATGTTTTTCCTAATACTGCATTGCATTTGCCATCCTGTTTGTGAACAGCATTAATAAAAGTCTTTTAATGAGGACAACAACAAATGAAACTCACAAATACAGAAGTCTGTAAATGCCCACAGCTTGATCTCTCATCCAATCACCCTCTCCAAGTGATTGCTGTAGCAAGGATCTTGCTCAGTGCTCCTGTCACTTGGTTCCCACTCTTGTATCAATTTAAGCAACTCAACCTCACTGTCTCCTATCACAAGGGCAGAAATGCATTGTGAAAAAATAAATGCAAATGTTTTCTATCAAAGCAAACTTCTCAAACTATTTTTTTCTCCATCTCATACTCTTTGTCAACAGTGCACCACTCTATTCTTGTTTTAGATGGCAGGTAACAGGTCAGTGATGCCCTATTGGCATTGAATTAAGAGGAAAGACACCTCTGAAAGTCAACCTTTGGTACAAACCTAGCAGGAAAAAAGTATGCTTAAAAGCCATCTACAACAATTTCTTATTCTGCAAATCTGATATGCAATTTGGTGTTTTAAGAGGAAAACAACTGCATCATTTGATGTATTTAGGCCTCCCAGAGTTTTTTTACATCTTCTGTCACAGTTTCAGTGTTGCTGAGATGGTTTCATTGCATTTTTGAAATATTCATCCTTTTTTTTCAGTTTATTTAGGATTCAGACCTTTTACCTAAAATACTTCCAACTTTGAACTTTCACTATAATCCAGCAAGCTGAAAACCAGTTACTTACTTGGAGGCATCACATTTTCTACCTGCAGTGACTACAGCCTTCTCCAAACTGACTGCTTTATGTTCTGCTCGAGCACTGGAGCACGTCAAAGGCTGTAGGTCTTAAACATGTTCAGCAGCTTAATAATATGTAAGAAATTTTACACAGTTCATGCAAAAGATTTACAGCAGACCCTGAAATGAAATTAGGCATTATAGCAAGATAGGCTGCCCATGTTCTTCAACTTAATAAACCTTCCAGAATGGTACAGGTGTATTATACTGGTTTCCAGAGTAATACCTACTCAAATGCTAGAGTGTTTTTAGTGAAACTCTAAAATGTTTTACCAAGAGACAGAAAATTTCAGACAACCTTCAACAAAAGCAGCAAGATAAACAGGGTTTAACAAACAGGTATCTTTTGAACAACCAGAAGGAATTAAAGGATGACTGCAAAAAGAGAAGACTGATTTTAAGCTTTCAGCTATGGGGGTTATTCAACAGTAAAGAATATTATCACAAGTTGTGCAGAGGAAGAGTAGATTTTCTTACGTGAGCAGCTGCGTTACTGTGTACTTGCTCCTTTATGTCAGCAAGATGTCAAAACCAGACTGGGACATAGGACTCTGAACAGAACCTGTTACTTGGAAAAGGATTTCTTATGAAAAGCCCCAATTCAGGTATCTCTGAGAAAGCTCAAGGACTTAGGAACGAAAGATAAAACCCTGAAACAAGTTAAGAGAACCTTAAGCATAAGGAACTGCTGTGCATTGAGAAAAGGTACAAGCAATAATTAATTTGGACTCCTTTCCTTGGCACCCTGTGCAGGGTAGAAAATTCTTTTGGCATACATCTGTATAAACAATTTCTTGCTATATTATTGGCACATACTGTGGCTTAAATTTTATGTCTAGATTCTCTCAGGAAAAAGACAGGCATCTCCTTTACTTCACCACCAAAGTCACCTGGGACTTGGGTACAGACAATAACCCAGCATTTGACCCTCCTAATGGCAGCAAGCAGCCATTATCCCTGTTATCTGATTTACTTATCATGTTTACCCAAATTAATGGATGCTGTTCATTTCATCAGAAGTTACACTGTCTTCAACTGACTTTCCAACTCCATGCGTACAAAGAAGCTCAGCACAACGTAAAATGTGAATCTCTTTGCTGAGAACCACTTTCCTCCAAACTTTGCATTGTCTGGGGAGGGGAACATCAAAAACCACAAATAAAATTTAGAAGCCAGTGAACCCAAGATGACTGAAATTAGCAAGTATCCTGCAAGTTTTAAGTGCTGGCTTTACTTTCTACAAAGCAAAAGACTTAAGCTCAGCTGTAATATTCCTTCCCTACCCCATGGATTGTGTAATTTCTACATCTGAGTTTACATCAAGTCCAAACAAATAAGATGATGTGAAAAGCTGCTATTACCAGAGGGACTGCTTTTCTATCCATGACTAGATTTGAAGATATTTCTTCCTTTACATTTTGTAATTCAAATTAAACCAAATGGCCAAGCATAGTTATGTGCACCAGTTTCAATGGCTCAGTAAGACAAAGGTGTGGCTTAAGCCACAGTTACATTCAGTATTTGGATTTTATGCTTTACCAAGGGCAAATAAGAGGATATTTCACCATTAAGCAAGATGGAAAGCTACTTCCCTGTTCCAAAGGCCTCTGAATTACCTTTTCAGTAAAAGTAAAAATATTTAACAGATTGGAACACAGAAATCTTAGGGTGTTTCCTGGCCACCCTAAGATTGTGGTGTGCTTATGACTGTTAGTAAGAAAACAAAAAACAAATAATATAACTTCAGATTCACACATCAAACCAGAAAAAAATAATCAAAAAACATCAACAATAAGCATCAGAAGCTCACCACTTCCAGTCTAAAATCTGGCATCTACAACTCCATTTCTTCTTCTGCACACCCAGATATTCCCAAACTAACATATGGATCTGGAGACATGGCAGTCTGTTGTGATCCAGGGAACGTTTCAGTCTGTGGGTCAAAAGGAGCTCCTGGTGTTGGCTGCTTAGCTTGACACACTTCTGTACTCTGCTGCTTGAAGTTCTTAACAGAAACAGACTTCAGTTTATCTGTCATAAATTCAGGAAGAGGTTTCCAAAGCACAAGCTCCATAGAAGGACGGCTCCTAGAAGGGATGGAGTTTCAGTAAAATTTAAGTTCTCCAAGCACAGCTATTAAATGCAGAAGACCTGTATCTTCATCCTTTGAGCTAGCCTGGAACCATATTCCAGAAAATATATACCTTTCTTCCCCCCCTATTAAATTTCCTCTTCCCTATTCCCTAGTTCCATTATTTCTAGTTCTAACCCTGTATTTCTCTCTTTTTTGCACCAAACTTGACCACCACTGGTCACACTTCAAGATCTTCTCATTTTGGAAATTCATGTACATAAA